TTGGAAATGTCGATCTATAAAGTATCCTCTGGTAGATGATAACCAGCAAATTGGCTGTAGTTTACTTTTTCGAAATAACAGAATTGTTCTTCAACTTTTCTATTGCTGATCATCATGACATACTATGTGGTAGTCTAGATGCAGGACAGCAATGATGGCAGTGAAACCGCGAGAACCAGGAGCAGGAAACGGAAAAGATCACGTAAGCAAGGCAAAAAGCTTTAAGTGACAAATGATTAACAGTTCTTGGCATGTGGAAAGAGCATTAAATGGTGGTTTTCTTATTAGCTGATAGCTAAGTGAGTGCATTAGGTTTACAGACAAATTGCAGGATAAGCTGACTCAATGGCAAGTTGGCTTTTTTTAGGAAGGGAACATTCTTACTTTTCCTAAAAGCAGACTAGATTTTATTTATTTTTGGTTTCCTCTGGGAAGTTTATAGTTTCGACAATTATATAACTTCATGGAAATGTTTAAAGATAAAATTGATGTCTCTTTGTTTATTGTGTCTGTGGTTAGTGTATTTCCCTTTCTGTTGAGTTGGTTTGGACACAAGAAAAAATAACTATTAAAGAAGAAGAGCTAGGGGAAGGAAATTACCTTTCTGTTCTGAATATATATTTCTGAGTCGCTGTTTCACCAAGTTTGTGATGAAATATAAGGAAATTCCAAGTATTTTTTTTATTTAGGATTTCCTGAGAGAATGGCTTGGGAGTATCATGCTTTAAGATATGTCTTTAGCATATTGTGAATAATAAGAAGGAAAATATGTTTCATTGATCCCTAGCTACTATGGATCATACTTTGTCAGCTGTCGTATGGGTTATGATCATACCAGGACAGGATTAGCTACTTTTGGATTGGAAGCAATATATTTTCCATTTTTATTGGATCCAAGGTCTCGAATTAATGGTGGATTTGTTTTACTTTTCATCAGTTTAATAAATTGCAATCTTTGGAAAATTACTGTGTGTGGATTTGCAGTGCATATTGTGACTTTGAACGAAATATGTAGTAGCTATTCACACTCTGTTCTCATGCCTGATGATGTCAAAATGTCTTGAATTTGCTTTTGTTTGCAAAGGTAAGTCAAACACAAACCCTTCTTCAAGGGCCCTGCCTGCTTATATTTCCCAACTGTATAACTATATATATAGATAGATATATGGATTGAAAGGAATGGTTTTAAGTGGAATTCTCTATTCGATCTTTCCGGATGCAACCTACCAAGAAGATACGGCCTAAACATGATGTCAAAAGTTTCATACTCTGGTGGGGTGGTGGTACCATACATTTCCTATTATTATTATTATTCTTATTTAGGTCCTGTCCTGTTCTGCAGTGTTCCTTTCTGTGAGGGTCATTTAATTTAATTAATTAAATAAATATATTAGAGAGAGAGAGAGAGAGGTTTTAATAAATACATAAATCAGTGATTTGGGGGAGAGAGAGGGCTTCGCTCATTCACGTCGGTTGGTTAGGGGAGGGGATGCTAGCTGCTAGGGTAGGAGGAATGACGACTTATGTTGTTTTTTGGACTTCAATGAATGTGGGTGTGGGTGTGGGTGTGGGTGTGGGTGTGGGTGTGGATGATTTGGGGTGCTTATTGTGCAGTCCTATGGACTTATTTTGAAATTCGTTTTGATAATTTAAACTATTTATATTTTAGAGTATATCGAGTACAACATACTTGTAAAAAATTAAATTAATCGGATATCGTTAATCCTTTCATCCACTCACATTTGTATTTATTTTAATATTTTAAATCACAATGTCATTTATTTTTCAAGATACAAATGTGACTGGATGAAAGGGTTAACATTATCTCATTAACTTGTTTTTTGGCAAGTATGTTCTACTCAATGGACTCTAAAATGTGAACAGTTTAGATTATCAAACGGACCTCAAAATGAGCCCATAAGATCGCACAACAGTGCCTGTAGTGCTACCCCAAATTCTCGATATACGGATACTCATCAGATTCAATCATTCATTAAGACAATATTACCAAAACATTCATTCTTTCATTGATTTCTTTAATGTATTACTAAAAAAAATCACATGCATTAATACATTCATTAACCCTAAGCTATGAATCTATAGCATGTGATAGATATACATATATAATATAACGATTCTGGTTTAAACCCAACCCATTTACTTGACTTTGAATTTGAGAACCCGTGTATTTAACTATTGTTCAGCACATTTCCATCTTATTGTGGGGGAGAGAGAGGGCTTCGCTCATTCACGTCGGTTGGTTAGGGGAGGAGATGCTAGCTGCTAGGGTAGGAGGAATGACGACTTATGTTGTTTTTTGGACTTTAATGAATGTGGGTGTGGGTGTGGGTGTGGGTGTGGGTGTGGATGATTTGGGGTGCCTATTGTGCAGTCCTATGGACTTATTTCGAAATTCGTTTTGATAATCTAAACTGTTTATATTTTAGAGTATATCGAGTAAAACATACTTGTAAAAAATTAAATTAATCGGATATCGTTAATCCTTTCATCCACTCATATTTGTATTTATTTTAATATTTTAAATCACAATGTCATTTATTTTTCAAGATACAAATGTAAGTGAATGAAAGGGTTAACGATATCTAACTAACTTTATTTTTGGTTGGCACTCCAAATCCGGGTGTGGGTGTGCTTTTCCCACCTTACGTGTTTAGTTTGAATTAGTTTATTATTATTATTATTAAGGAATTTATCAATGAGAGCTAATTTGAAAAAGTTGTTACATATGTATGGAAAAGTTTATAATTTTAATATTGATAAAGTTTATCATTATTTTGTAATTAATTTTCAAGTTTTGTATAAAAAAGTTTATAATTTTAATTATTAATATTGTTGGCACCACATTTGAATCATTGAATTCAAAAGTGACACGTGACATTTTAAGTGTATTCTATGGTATTTGATGAGATATGGAAGGGTGTCACCTTGCAAGTGCTCACCTGAGTTCCAAATGCAAGTTTAACCAGTAAAAGATAATGAGCAACATGTGAGAGGCACGTGAAGAAAGAGTTAACAAGGAACAGTTGCTAGCAGTTACACATGCACGAAGGGAAGATTATGGCCTTAAGAAGTAGCGAGAAGAAAAGAGATCATGGCCGAAGATAGCAGTCTAACTGCTTCAAAGGCATCAAGAGAAGGCTATAAATAGATGGAAGCAAAAACTGAAAAGGTCCCTGACCAAATTCAGACTCTACGTCTTTGTCAATTTCATTTATCTTTAAATTTTTACACTTTACTTTTATGCATTGCACTTACATTTCGTAGGAGTAGATTAGCCTTGTAATTCCAAAACTCGATCGGTTTAAAAGTTTCGAAATTGTCCTTACTATATGTAACATTTTGTAATTGTTTATTCAGTTAATCAATTGTAATTTCTGCCTAGCCTTTCCCTCCAATTTTGTTACGAATTTGAGTTAAAGCTTTCGTTCATTTTTTAATGTAAATCAAAATATAAAACATGCAGCGGAATAAAATGTTTAGATCATACCTTTATTGATCTAAAACCTCGTGGATAAATCACGTGCTTCCTGAATCTAGTCAATTAACCCAGCAGTGAAGTGATATTACAATATTGAATATCACCCACACAAACCACAGGTCATGCCACATGGGCGCCCAATTTCTAACATTTAAACACAACACAGTAAAGTCTTTTCATTGACATTAAGAGAGCCTTAATACAATCACTTAATAAAAAGTGGTATTTATTATTTGTAAAAAAAAAATTCAGATTTTTGCTGATATGTTTGAATTATATTTCTAACCTTCGAAATGTCAAAAATAACCAATAAATATTGATAAAGTTTATCATTATTTTGTAATTATTTTTCTAGTTTTGGACTAATATAAATTTTTTCCTATTATTATTATTGTTATTGCAGATCTCAATTCTTATGAATTTGTTTCTTTCTTTTGTTAACAATGTTAGAATTGCCCTATCCCTCTCTTAATTGTATCTTTAATGATATGATAAATAATATTAACTAATTAATTTTTTTCAAAGTCTTTTCTCGTCTTTTAAAATTTTTTAATTAGGAATGATAAAATAAGTGAGGTAGAAAAACTCTTCCTTTTATTGCATGGCATGGCACACAGATTTCCAAAAAAAGAAAGAAAAAAGAGGCCATTATTTTCTGTTCTAAATCATCATGGGTGGGTTTAGGGTTTATTCTTTATTATCAAGGAAGAATTATTGTCTAGTGCAGAGTATCTTTGGCTCTTTGATATTTGCTTTGTCCAATCACTTCATTCTTGTAAATTCACTTTTTGTTGGAGAAATATTCTCAACTCAGGTTTTTGATCCACCAAGATTTGCAACATTCTCTAGAATCATCTCAGCTTGGGACACTTCGTTACCTTTTGATAATAGTTGACCTTTGTTCATTTGCTTTTTGGTCCAATTACTTATTTGTAATCATTAAAATTAACAATACAAATAAAAATGCAGAATAAATTAGGGGGGTGTTCAAGCAACCGAACCATCCGACAAATTCAACCCGAACCAACTGACCCGAAGACATTACAGACGGTTTTGAGCTTAAATTCGATCGGGGACAGGCCTATTTTCAAATGAATAATGCTTGGGACCCCCTTTTGGGGGTCACCCCCTTACCCCTCTTTGTCACGTGACCGGTGGTGATTGGATGAGCAGAAAAAAAAAGAAAAAAAGAAAAAGAAAATGTAACCAATGAGAAAGAGAGGGGGTCAAAGGAGTGGGAGAAAAGGGAGATGAATCATTGTTGTTTTCAAATTTAAACTCAGGTTTCGATCAGTTTTCAGTTCCACATAATTAAAAGTAACTAAACTTGAACCAAATATATTACTAATGATGCAGAATTCTGATTCCATTGCCACATGTGTTTATCTAATTGGTTTGACAGATTACACACAACTTCCAACACTCTTATGTCTTTCCCTTCATCACATTTACAGACATCTCTCTCTATCTCAAAAAACTCAAAAGACAGAACATGATGATCTCACCAACCTCCCTTTCGTCTCTCTCTCTCTCTCTCTCTCTCTTTGAAACCCTAATGCATCCATAGATTCTTTAATGGTCTCATCCATAAATCTGAACTCAATCTTTAATTTCAAACCCTAAATACTCTATATATTAAAGATCAACTATGAAAACCCTCTTTGATTCAAGGCTATTGATAAAGAAAACCCTGTAACTTCGAAGTTTTGAAGTTTCAAAACGAAGCTTTGTTGTTTTTCCCGACTCTCTAAGATCTTCCTCTGGTGACAGCCATATTTTACGACTCAAAGTTCTTGACTCAATGATCAACCAAACCCCAAGTACAATTTTATGAAAATTTTGTATTTTGTATTTTTTTTGTTAATGGATCATTATTGTTTTAATAATTTTAGTTTTGTGAAGATTTTTCAAATAGATTAGTACTAATTTTTTTTCATTATTATTTTTTTTCTCAAGATTTTGGTTTTTTTTAGTGCTAAAATATGATAGATATCGTATACGTATTTGATTATTGTTTCATGAGAACTGAATATGATGGTGCTAAATTTTCCAATTTCCAATAACAATTTATTTATTTTTGGTTTGTAAGTAATTGGATGTTGCCATATTGGAAGTTGAAGCTACTAATCCCTTAATCTAAACACTACTATTTCTAATACCATGGCCACTTGGGAAGAAAACTTGTTTCGGATGTAAAAGGCTGCTTTTTTGTTTTTTGTATTTTCGATCTACTCACTAGACTAGCAAATCATTTTTCCTTCATAGAAAAGACAGATTTAATTACTTAAGTTGACTTGAATTTTGTTTAGATGGTTAGATATTAAAGGTTTAAAATGTTTCGGTTCATATTGATTGTTTAGTTTAATGTGTTCTTTATTCAAATTAAAGTTATTGAAAGTAGAATCTTTGCTCATTTGTTCAAGTTCTGGTTAAAAATACATTCAGCTACAACTTATGCTTACATTGAACTTCATTTATTTTTTGTAATTGGTTTAGACAAATCAAATATATTTATTTGTTGGGTTATGAGTTTTCAAAAAATAGTCTTTGAGTTTTTTGTTTTTTATTTTTTCAGTTTTCAGGAATTGGTTTAAAAAAAAAATTTAATCAAAATGTGTATTGTTTTTTAAATGCTGTTATATTTTTGTTTAAGTTTGTCATGTTTTTGTATCATTGCTTTTAAATTGTTCATGCATTCTTTCACGAGGTTCTTTACTTATTTATTTTTTTAAAATTTCTAATAGATAATAGATCATCCAAATCAACCTACTGCCCAGGATGCTACTGTTATTCCCCCTTCTACTATCCAAGAAGACCCTATTGATAATCCTTCAAAACCACCTAAGGTGCATGCAAAAGGTACTGGGAGAAAACCTTCAAGAGCATGGGATCATTTTGATAAAATCAAGTCTAAAGATGGGGTAACTAGGGTTGTTTGTAAATATTGTCAAAAGGAGTATTTGGCTGATTCAAAGGGGCATAGGACAAGCAACTTATTGAGTCACTTGGCTTTTTGTCGAAAATATCCTCACAGAGATGTGGATAATAATGGACAACAAACTTTATCTTTTCAGTCCAAAAAAGATGGAGACGAGGGTGTTAATCTTGTGGCAACGAGCGTTAGTGTAGAAGCTGCAAGAAGAGCTCTTGCTGAGATGATAGTGCTTGATGAATTACTTTTTAGGTTTGTGGAAGGTAAAGGGTTTAAGAGATTTTGTGCTGTTTTGCAACCAAAGTTTAACATTCCATCTCGTGTTACCATTGCTAGAGACATAGCAGGGAGTTTCAACAATGAGAGGGATCGGTTGAGGAAAGTATTAAAAGGGCGTAGGATTTGCCTTACCATGAAAGAAAATTTTGAAAAGCATTGAGGTAATGGGAAGAAAATCAACTTACTTGCGTATGTTGTTGTTTTACTTGATCCTAGAAAGAAACTGAGGTATCTGAAATTCTGTTTTGCATAATTACTTGTTGAAAGAGTGGTGAATGAGATAACAGGTTGGGTAAAGGATTGTCTATCTCGTTTATATGAGCATTATGCTTCTCATGATTCGGTAATTATCGAAATGTCTAATGTGTGGAAAGGATCAGCGATGAAGGTTGATGATCCACATCTATTAATTGCTTCTCAATTTAATATTTATTTGGAAAAGGAATGCTCTAGTGTGTGTAAATCTGAGGTTGATAGGTACTTGGCAGACAGGTGTGAAGCTTCCAATGAAGAAAAGTTTGATATATTAAGATGGTGGAAGGTCAATTCTTCCAGTATAGAGTGTTGTCCCAAGTTGCATGTGATGTCTTGGCAATACCCATCTCTATAGTAGCTTCTGAATTAGCCTTTGATACAGGAGGACGCATTCTAGACCCATTTCGTAGTTCATTATCTCCGGTGATGGTGGAGGCTCTGATATGTACACATAATTGGCTTCAAAGCACAGTTCCTATTTCTCTTCGAAAGGTAATGGATAATGTGGAGGAACTTAAACAATATGACCCTACAGGTAATTTTTTGATTTATTTTTATATTTATGTTTTACACTAAATACAACATAACATTGTTTTAAATCTGAATTAATTGTTTGTAGCTCTTTCTGAATTTGCATCAACCTCAAACCCAAGTTCAAATGTTATCACACTCTAGTATGGCTTGGTAAAGTTACTCAATTCTACATCTTTAATATTTACTTCTTACTTAATTAATAAAATTTATTTGCAACATGTTCTCATCTTCTATGTTTTTTGAATTTGCAAGCTTCAATCTTTTTGGTTTCATGGGGAGTTAACTGAGTTTCTTGACTAATTTTTTTATACAGTTAACATAGATCAGCACTTTTCTTTTTGACTTCATAAACAAATATTTTTGCACATGGATAATGATTGAGATAACTATACTTGTGAATGTTTTGATGGATGGTGACAAACTAAGTAGTTAGCTTATTTTGTTAGGTTTAATGTGACAGCACTTGGAATTTTTTTGGCAGTAGTGCATACTGGATTTGATGTATTTTGGACAGATTCTATTTCCTAATGCTTTAGGTTAGTATGCAATTTATTTTTTGTTTTTGGATGAATGCAACTTTTGAGCTTTGGTTGTTTGTTTTTGGATTGATTTTACATAGGTTATTCATTGCCAAATTGTTTTTTATTTTTAGATGAATGAAACATTTTATTTTGGGCTGTTTATCCTTGGACTTATTTTACAAGTTATTTATTTTATTTAGGCCAAGTTTGGCTACAAAGAAAAAAGTGTACTTATTTCATCTGTTTATCTTTTTTGGGTCACATCAATCAACATCTCCTCTCTACTTTTTCTACACATAATATAAAAAAAAGTCAAAAAGTGCACTTATTTAGTCTTCCCAAACTAGGCCTTATAATGGGTTGTTTAGATTGATTTTAAATAAATTATTATTTTTTTTAATGGGCTTATCTCTAGAAAGGGCTGTTTGGGCCATTATCTAAAACAAAACATAACTAAATTATAGAATTGGATTGTTTGAATGTTAAATGGGCTAAAAATAATATTAATTCATAAAGGCCCAAATTTGAAGGCCCAACCCACTCATCTGATCCCCAATCCGAACCCGACCATTAAACCGAAAATCATATAAGAGCAGTTTCGAAAACAAATCTAGTCGGCAACGGTTAATTTTTCATCCACCCAAATTATTATGGTTCAATAGTAGTTAGGGATCTAACCCAAACCAAACAACTCGTATATATCCCTAGAATGAATCACAAAAAATATAAGCAGTGCCCCCGTCCCTCTTCCATTGGGTTTGTAGTACTACTGTATTATTACCACCACATTGAATGATCAAATCAAATGTCATTCACATTAGAATTAAAAAATAAAAATACTATTAATAATTTCAAAATATAACATTTCACTACACATTTCATATATTTTTAAATATTTATGTATATACATATATTCTTTTTTTGACAAATTTCAATAACTATAAAAACTATTTTTTAACATTAACAAAATTAAATCACTACTTGTAAATGCTGATATGCATAAAACATGTATTAAAAATTTTAATTTTTTGACATAATCAACATCATGACCCAAAAAACGAATTCCAAAATAAACCAAAAGAAGAATTCCAAAAGAAACCACAGACCAGCTCACTGAAAGACATGAGATGAGATGCTTTCAGTGGGAAGAGAATGATGATGATGATCATCATCATATTAGTGCTTTGACAATTCTTGTAACAAGTAATAACATACCTCAAAACCCATCACGGTTTCTCATTTTTAGCAAAAAGTTCTTCAGCACACATACCAAAATTGGCCGATGCAGGAAAATACAGCAACTAGCCCCGACTTTCTAGACTTATCAGATACAGAGGAGAGAGCATTGACTGGTGCAATCAGGTTTCTTTAATGGGTAAAACTAAAGACAGTTCAATGAATAGTCATTAATTTTGGTATGTGTACATTAAATATACATTAAGGTGTTTTTGACGACATAAAAAAAAAGGCCATGGCTTCTGTCTACCGTATTGTTGGGTCCGTGAGAGTTTATCATGGGTCCCGTTTTAATAATCTGAACTGTTCAATGTGTAAAACTCATCGAGTACTATATGCCTGTAAAAAATCACGTTGATCGGATATCGATAGCTATGTAAACAAAACAGTTTTTAATCAACCGTTAATTTTTTCACCGTCCATTTTTTTTTATACAAAACTGATTTGATCATATAGCTATCGATATCCAATCAATGTGATTTGTTATAGCATTTAGTACTCGAAGTGTTTTACACATTAAACGGTTCATATTTTCAAAACGGGACCTGTGGTGGGCCCCCACGGGCCCAACAGCACGGTCCGGTCCGATCCCGGACTGGACAGAAGCTGGACCCAAAAAAAAATATGTAACTTATTAATTTATTGATTTATTTGAGTCAAATCATTTATTTATTTTTTTTATACGTCTTTTTATAATAAATAAAAAAAAATTAAAAAATAAATTATACCCATTTCAAACATATCCAATTCATCCATAATGTCGGTATTTAGGTAAAAAAATTCAATGAACCGATAATGTCGGTTTTATTATTTTGAAAATTGATATAGATCGCTTCTTCCATCAAACCGCACCGAACCGAACCGATTGAAACAATTTGGTTCAGTGCAGTTTAATCAATTTAAAACCTTTCAAACTTGAGTTATTTTTAAATATAATTACTAATCTATATAAAAATATTAAATTAGTTCTGGGCAAATTACCAAGAAGTCTTCTTTGAAAAACATGTAGCCTATTTAGTCCCATAATCTTTTGTTTATACTCAAAAGTCTTGTAACGTTTTTCTTCTTCTCTGCCTTTCTTCTTTTCTACCTCTTTTGCTCTTTGTGATTTCTAGCAATCGTTGACGGGCAACCACATCTTCTTCTGAGTTTACAAACTTAGGTTATAAAGATAATAAGGTTAATTAATTAAGGTTAATAATTTATTATACTTATTAATATCATTAGATTATTAAATTTTATATATATATATATATTACAAATACAATATATGTTAAAACGGTTGATTTCAATTTAGTTCGGTGCACAAGGTGCTTGAACCGATACCGAATCGAAAGTCAAAAGAATCAAATTTAAAAACCGCATAAACCGATTATTTCTAAAAAACATATCAAATATAACTAGTTTAGTCCGATTCAATCAATTTAGTTGATTTTTTCAATTTTTCATGCATCCCTACTTTTAGTAATAATATTAAAAAAAACCAAAAAATAACATTACAACTTTGCTTCTCGTCACATGTCATTTCTTAGCTTCACTTCTCCAAATCAAAATCCCATAAACAAATTCATACAATAACTTTACAGCTTTTTGATGCCACGTTGATTTGGTTGCCTTAATTAAGTTGCATGATATCTGTATATTGTGATCAGTTAAGCCCCAATGCAGTATGTGTCTCTCTCTGTAGAACACAACAAAGTCAAACCTGAACAGATTGAAGATATTCTCATCAAACACCAATTTCAAGCCTTGAAACTATTTATGTATGTCCTCACAAAATGGACTCTGTGAAGGTCAAACGGAACAATCTTTCAACCAAGATAACAGCTAAATCTCCTATGAGTGGCCAAATTACTCACTCGTCCTCTGACCCGTGTTCTGAATTCTTGTTCGATGAGAGCACAACATTGAGTTCATCTTTGTCTAATTCAGAAACTCCAGGGTCTAGCAACACCCAAATGGAGGGTAATATTAATGATACTAAACCAAACCACATGAATTTGACGGCGCCAATTGTACGGGAAAGAAATAAACCTTCTCGTATAATCCTGTTGACCAAGTCCACTTTCCTCCGTACGTCGTCGCTTTATCACCTGAAAACACAAACGTGAGCTAGCCGGCGAGTGTGTGCCGGAAACCTCTCCGATGCCTAAGTCAGTAAGCTTGACAAATAGACAAAAGCTCTGTGTATTCAGAAAGCAAAATTGTGTGTTACCTCTCCAAAGGTGATGTTTGTGAGCTTTTCTAGGTTCCGTGTGGCACAATCCTAGTAGGACTTCTACTCCTCCATGCAGAGTCCTCCTAGGATTCATACTCCTGAGAGATAATGCTTATCCTTTAACACCCCCTCACTTCTTAAACCAAGTGAGATGGTTTTTACCATAGGATGGTTTTTACCATAGCTGAATTCCAACATGACTGAAATAATCATGGCTATGCTGAGCCTCAGAGTAGGCCGAACTATAATTAGTTCAGTTCTTACTTTTACTCCTCCTTATCTCGGTGTTCTCATGTACAAACCATGGTGTGTTTAGACCGAGCTACCAAGTAGCAGGTTCTGACCGTTCTAAACACAATACGTCACGACCGGACTAACTCTGAGACCGACCTAACTCCAAGTCGCTTCCGGACCGGAGTAACTTTACATTTCTCTCGAGCCGGAGTAATCTTTTACCTCTCTTGGGCCGGAGTAATCTTTTACCTCTCTTGGGCCGGAGTAATTTTACGGCCTTTTTACCCAGCCCTTCGTACTTTGGGCCATAATGTCCACCTCATAGCTTGGCCCAATTTTTACCAAAATTACCCTCTTATCAATCAAGGCTAAGCAGAGAACTAGCCGGTATGCATCTCATAATAACATGTAGAGGCATATGATGGTGAAAACCATGCAGCTTCCTAGTGGGGATACAATGAGCAATGCTGATTCTGATCTCTACTCGGTTACATTGTGCACAGATCTTTACCCGCCGATGCATTGGGAGAGATATGATTGGGTGAAAAATCGACAAACTAAACATGATTCATTTTTGGTGTGGTGCACTTTTTTGTGCACCTAGCATTGTTGCAATTGATATGATGATTACTTAGGTTGGGCCACATTTTCCCGTTTTCAACAGCTTATTTTGTGCTAGATAGGTTTTGGGATTGCTCTTTACTGATATGATGCATATACATATAAAGTTAATTTCAAAAGAATTAGAAATTGTTAATTAAATTCTGGGGCAACTACACAACAATGGAGATTAGAAAAATTATTTACAAAAAAAGTGATAAACATTATAAATATTAATATTTAAAATCATAAATTTTTTAATTTTTTTAAAATAATTTTCTCAATCACACTAATGTGTAATTCTCCCTTAAATTTTTCACTTTATGTACTTACTTGTTTAGAAGAGCATGAAAATATATTTTTTGAAAAATCCAAAATAAAAAAATTGATTAAACACCAAAAAAGGTTAATGTAGCATTTTTTTGGATTGTTTTTCAATTTATTATTATTTTTTTTTATTTTGAGAACTTTCTAATCTCGAAAAACTTTAAAAGAAAATATTGTTAACACAAATTTCTTTAATTTTTTTTTAAAAAATTACGATTTTTTTATCTTTGCCAAACAAAACCATAATATGAAGAAATTTTATATATTTTAAAATTTTAAAGCATATTTATAAAAATTTCAGAATACTTGTGTAT